GATATATATATATATATATATATATATATATATATATATGAGTTTCTGTGTCTACATCTTTTCTTGCATATATTGATGTATTTATTTATACTTATATCTATTCAAGAAAAGGATTTAAAGGTCACTCAAGGAGGAAAAAACAGAATAGCACTTAAATCATTATGAATGTCGGTTTAGAAAATAAAAACAACATTTGAGCACAAAGATTGAGACCTCACCAAACAGTTTGGTCAGTGTGAATGCCTACAAGCAGAAAATCTCCAAGTTGCCTTGCACACTTCAGAATCTGGTGAAGCATCAACCAGACAAAAGTTGACTATGACATGCAAAAGTAGGAACACCAAACCATATTTATTTACAGGACTTTAATATAATAATGAAGTACTCAATGGCCTTGAATTTCTTCATGTATAAAAAACTCACAGGGACAATGTGCATCGTAGAAAGGTAGGAACAACCTCTGATGAGAGAGAAACAAGATTTCTTTTCCTTAAAATGGCCCAAATTAAGGTGTAACCTCACCAGCTCCTTTCACAATGGTGAAATGAAGCAGACAAGATATTCCAACCTTTCAACTGCTACTATAAGCATCTACATGAATAACCTCTAGGAAGTGAGAGCCATCAGAAGCTGAAGGTGTGGAATTCAGGAGGTCCTCTTGAAAGAGAGACCACTTCTATTGCGGTGGAATTGTAAACGCATTTTCTCAATGATACGCATAGTTTGGCTGATCAGTGAGAGAATAATCAAGTAGACCAGCCAAAAATTCTAGCATCACTTTCCATATTCTGGGTCCATTGAAAATTGAAAAGAAACAGCTAGGGTGTGTTTTTGTAAAAGTGAATATACATCCAGACATCCAGACTCTAAACAATACTAAAGGGAAGTGACCATATTAAAATTTTGATGCTATGTGGATATATTCGCATATTCAAAGACCAAAGCAAGGCACTTAAGAGTGATATACCTCCACATGACCAGCATGGAAGAGATCAAAGGCACCATCAATGTACACCACCCGAGCATCAGGCCCTGGTCCCTGAAATTAGATGAAACTGTGTAGATTATTCAAAGATCTATACACATGAACATATCATCACAAAAAGTTGAAATGCAGAAAAATGTGAGACCCTTGATTAAATGAATAAGATAAAGAAAACAATCAAGAAACAACTTTAGAGGATACAAGCACCTAAGCTTAGAATGACACCCTTTAAAACAACCAAATGGAAAGCATCTCTCAAGACTATGCAATGTAGCATTACCTTCCCATTTGAAAACTGCACAATTCGTCGAGAAGTAGGCAAGAACTGGGATATTTGAGATGAAACAGCAGCAACATCCTCAGTCTGCCCATGAGGAATTTGTTCTTGGGAAGAAGCATGTTCATTGTTGTTGCCATTTTCTGAAGGCTTGACATGTGAAAGTATCCTACCTGAAAGAAGGATAATTGTTCTCAGCAACAGCATCCACAACATTAAATTTCATGGATAAGCAACATAGAAAACCATAGAGAGAGAGAGAGAGAGAGAGAGAG